TGTGAAATATCTTCCGCCCCCCAGCGGAGCGCTTCGGCGCCTCTGGGCGGCTAAAGCCGCATCGGGGTAAAACAACAACTAAAATTGCCGCCGCTTCCCTGCCCTGCAAGTGGCTGGAGCAGAAGGAGAGAGAGAGAGAGATTTTAGTCTCATTGGATCAGAGGAATGGCAGTGAGCTTGCCATGAGGCTTAGTAGGCCTGCGCTCTATCACCACACTTGCCAGGTCTCTCTTCCGTTTGGACATTATTTACCCAATCTCTCCTCAAGCACACGCCGCCACCCTACTAGTTTCCGTCACAGCATATGCTGCGGCCTTTCAGTCCGGAACGGGGCTCCCCTTCGCCTTGCTGTCTGCCCAACTTAGCGGACTTGCGTTGGCTGATCACCCCGTCTTCGCGTCTGTGCCGGCCTTCAATGCAGCGCCCGACCGTCTCTTGACCGAGATTCATTGCACTATTCCACGCGCAAACGGCTACCCTAAATGTGCATAGACAACGCTCATGGTTCAACACGACCAGGGCGCAGTCTGGGAGCCGAGTATACTAAAAAGAGAGTTTAGCAGCCAAAACTCGTCAAAGCACACGTTGGGTTACCCCATCACCTAACAACGATGATGGCGGTTCCCACCCGTGAAATACACAACCTAACCAATATTGGGCGACGATGGCGCTCATGAGCCCACGTCCCCACAAACAGTAAGAGAAAGAGAGAGAGGAGGAGATTGGCAAATGTGCGGTCCCTCGCCCAATGTCTTATGCCTCGCTGGGGCAAAGAGAAGAGAAGAGGAGCGGATAAGGGAGGAGATTGGCCAACGTGCGGTCCCTCGCCCAATGTCGGCTGCCTCGCTGGAGCTGGGTCAAGAGGAGAGGAGCGGATAAGGGAGGAGATTGGCACACACGGTGGCGCTGCCGGCGCCGAGGATAGCGAGAGAAGGTGCAGTTTGATCTGATCATCTGGTTTGCTATTTCTCTAAGGCCAACGTGCGGTCCCTCGCCCAATGTCGGCTGCCTCGCTGGGGCAAAGAGAAGAGGAGAGGATAAGGGAGGAGATTAAGACACATCACCGTGGAAATGCTTGCCGGGCGCCGAGGATAGCGCAGAGAAGGTGCAGTTTGATCTGATCATCTGGTTTGCTATTTCTCTAAGGCCAACGCGGCGGTCCTCGCCCAATGTCTTCTTACCGGCTAAAGTGTAAAGAGAAGAGGAGCGATAGAGTGAGATTCTGCCAACGGCGGGTCCTCCTCGCCCAATGTCGGCTGCCTCGCTGGAGCTGGGGCAAAGAGGAGCGGATAAGGGAGGAGATTGGCACACACGGTGGCGCTGCCGGCGCCGAGGATAGCAAGAGAAGGTGCAGTTAGATCTGATCATCTGGTTTGCTATTTCTCTAAGGCCAACGTGCGGTCCCTCGCCCAATGTCTTCTGCCTCTCTCTCAATCTCACTATTTTGGCCGCCGTGATAGGCGCCGCCAACAGCAGCAGCTACCTGGTTGATCCTGCCAGTAGTCATATGCTTGTCTCAAAGATTAAGCCATGCATGTGGAAGTACAAGCCGATTTAAGGCGAAACCGCGAATGGCTCATTAAATCAGCTATGTTTCATTGGATCTGTAAACCCACTTACTTGGATAACTGTGGCAATTCTAGAGCTAATACATGCAATTGGTCTCTGACCGCAAGGGAAGAGCGCTTTTATTAGTTCAAAACTGGTCGGGCCCCGGTCCGTAACCCACCGGTGGTGAATCTGAATAACTTCGGGCTGAGCGCACGGTCTCCGCACCGGCGCCGCTTCTTTCAAGTGTCTGCCTTATCAGCTTTCGATTGTAGGTTATGCGCCTACAATGGCTATAACGGGTAACGGGGAATCAGGGTTCGATTCCGGAGAGGGAGCCTGAGAAACGGCTACCACATCTAAGGAAGGCAGCAGGCACGCAAATTACCCACTCCCGGCACGGGAGGTAGTGACGAAAAATAACGCATGTGAGTCTCATCCGAGGCCTCGCAATCGAATGAGTACACTTTAAATCCTTTAACGAGTATCCATTGAGGGCAAGTCTGGTGCCAGCAGCCGCGGTAATTCCAGCTCCAATAGCGTATATTAAAAGTTGTTGCGGTTAAAAGCTCGTAGAAGTTGATCTCAGTTCCGACTGACGGTGCAATCACCGTGTTTACTGTCACGCCCTAACAAAGCCGCCCGCCGGGCCGCATCGGGATGCTTCGCTCTTGTGCGTCCCGAGTGGCCGGAGAGTTTACTTTGAAAAATTAGAGTGCTCAGAGCAGGCTATTTGAATGGCCCGAATGGTGATGCATGGAATAATGGAATAGGACCTCGGTTCTATTTTGTTGGTTTCGGAACCAGAGGTAATGACTAATCGAACAGGCGGGGCATCTCAGATAAGCGACGCTTAGAGGTGAAATTTTGGACCGTCAAGAAGATCTAACTAATAAGTAAAGCATTTGCCAAGGATGTTTATTAATCAAGAACGAAAGTTAGAGGTTCGAAGGCGATCAGATACCGCCCTAGTTCTAACCATAAACGATGCTAACTAGCGATCCGCCGGCGTTATTCCCATGACCCGGCGGGCAGCTTCCGGGAAACCAAAGTCTTTGGGTTCCGGGGGAAGTATGGTTGCAAAGCTGAAACTTAAAGGAATTGACGGAAGGGCACCACCAGGAGTGGAGCCTGCGGCTTAATTTGACTCAACACGGGAAACCTCACCAGGCCCAGACACCGGAAGGATTGACAGATTGGAGAGCTCTTCGATCTGGTGGGTGGTGGTATGGCCGCTCTTAGTTGGTGGAGCGATTTGTCTGGTTAATTCCGATAACGAACGAGACTCTGGTCACTAAGTAGTCGACGGATCTCCAGAAATGGTGTCCAGTTCGCAACTCTTCTTAGAGGGATAAGCGGCAAATTCTAGCCGCGACGAGATTGAGCAATAACAGGTCTGTGATGCCCTTAGATGTTCTGGGTCGCGACGCTACACTGAAGGGATCAACGAGTTTTCCCGAGAGGAGCGGGTAACCCGCTCACAAAGCCTTTCTTGATAGGGATTGGGGCTTGCAATTGTTTCCCATGAACGAGGAATTCCCAGTAAGTGCAAGTCATCAGCTTGCGCTGACTACGTCCCCGCCCTTTGTACACACCGCCCGTCGCTACTACCGATTGAATGATTTAGTGAGGCCTTCGGACTGGCGCTCTTGGATTGTCGGCCCCGTTGCCCGCGAGGGTTTTCTGGGGTCGTCGCCTCGAGCTGACGGAAAGATGTCCAAACTTGATCATTTAGAGGAAGTAAAAGTCGTAACAAGGTTTCCGTAGGTGAACCTGCGGAAGGATCATTAACAGAGAGAAAGAGAACGGGGCGCTCTTAAAACTACTACTACTACTCTCCTGATTTGGGCGGTCTCGGGCTCTGCTCTGGCAACTCCAGCAGCGAAAGAGGACAATCCCGGCCCCCGCACCAAAAATAGGTACCACCACGCTGTAGGTGGACCACACTCGGGCGAGAGCGCGAAGACCGGAGGAGGAGGACGGACGGGGCTTTGGACGGCTGCCCGTCCGTTCCTTACTACCGGCGAATAAGCCTCTTGACCCAAAAAGAGTGAAATTCAAGTGTCAAAAAACAACAACAAGCCGTCCGGCCAAACCCAAACCACAAACTTGGGCTATGTCTGTCAAACCCTTTCATTGAGACTCGACCTGTGATGGTTAGTCGCAAAAAGACCAAATGGCAAATACACAACTCTTAACGGGGATCACTCGCTCGTGGGTCGATGAAGACCGCAGCAAACTGCGTGTCGGTATGTGAATCGCAAGAATACCAGATACATCGACAAGTTAACGCATATTGCGGCGGCGGCAGCCATATGAGCTTGTCGCCGCCACTCCTCTACGAGGGTCGGAAATATACATCCATCGGTTGCTGCGAGTTCGGTGCCTGCTGACTGTCTCCCCGACACGAGGGTAACCCGAACCGAGCTTCCGCCTTGGGGTTTAATCGCCCGCGCCTTGCGCGAGGCGTGCCCTTAAAAACAAGCAAGCCTATCACTAGCAAGTCCATGGACTTGGCGCACCCACATTCAACCACAACAAAGCGACAGTTGTCGCCCTCGCAAATAACTGGAGGCGGCGCTCTTTTGCCTGCTGTCCACAGAGACACGAATGGCCGTCGGCCGCTCATGGCTGATGCTGCACATGTTCTAAGAGGCACTCCATCCCACGAAGAGGAAACGAAACCGGGTCGGATATCTTTTAAGTAAGCCCCGCCGGAATTTCGTCTATCACCTCGAAAAGAGTGCTTGGCATGCATTGCAGTGGAACCTAAATTGATGAGTGCG